TGCCCCATGGCTCTGCTCCCCTCACCCCATTGTGTCACTGTGCCCCATGGCTCTGCTCCCCTCACCCCATTGTGTCACTGTGCCCCATGGCTCTGTTATCAATACTACAATCCCTCAGCAAATCCAACACTTTTGTTCTCATGTTTAGCACCCTCACAGGGCTCTACCCAGAGACTCAACAGAAGCCTCATTTTTCATGTTCACAACAAGCTGCACAAGTTAAATGGGGGACTGTCAAGTTTCCTGCTCAACTCCCTGTCTTGAGTACTGAGGCCTGAAAGCCAGAATCTGCAAGAAATGAGAATGACATCAACACTACAGCTGTAGAAGCATCTGCTTTGTTTAACTTGATTTTAAGTAAAGGAATTACAATCTAATCCACAATCTAATTCATGTAACCATAGACCACTAACTTTGCTGTACAGCCATGGAAACACAATATACAGCTATTTCTGTAAGATTTTTATTAAAAATGCAGTCCACAAAGCAGAACCCCCATATTCAGACATGATGTAGACTGCCTTGGCATCCTGCTTTGCTACTAGAGTGAGGACTGGAAAGCCATTTATGTAGCAGCAGAGACCCTTTCACCAATGTCAGCCTTTTCCCTTACACCAAGAGGCTTGATACCTGCCCAGAAATGCCATAGTTCAGTTTGCATCATTGGAAGCAGTTCCCAAAAGGTCAATTTATTGGAAAACGATATGGCCCTGGAAGAAAAATCTGTGTTTGTTCAAAGGAGAGGAAGTAAGAAATTGTCCATTCTGTTTGCTTCTGCCACTGTAACTCATTTTGAGAACGATACATACCTATGGCCATACCTACGTTCTGCAGAATTCAATTAGCCAAATAAAAACAGTGGTAGGTCATTTACATTGTGTACATGAAAAAAAAAAAGAAAAATTTTCCTAAAGTACTGTATTCTAGATAGAAACATACCTACAGGATTTACTGGGAGTAGCAACTCATACCTCTTCCTTCTTAGAGTACAGGCACCAGAGAACAAGTTCAGCATGAGGTACTTGAAATCAGAGCTTTTACTATGCAAACACACTTTTCACCCATTAAAAAAATAGATTAGAGTAAGATATAAACATCTTATTTATTAAATCAAATAGAAATGCAAAATATATTTCACATGCCTTACATGGAAAAGAGATGAACTTCCAAGACTTTAAAGCAAAACTGTGTCAGTTGACACGCAGGAAACAGGAACATTATGAACAGTTACAACGAGGAGGAAGGACTGGGGGGAGGTGACATGGGGGTGCTGGGCAGTTCCTCCTCACTCTGAGAAAGATCTCCTAAAAACAAGAATGAAGTTTATGCTAAGCAAGCATTAGAAGCCTAAAATTAATTTTAACATACACTTATTTCGGAGGAAATTGTCTAAAGAAGTACAGTTGGCTACTAACTAGTCAAAACAGTGGTCTAAGTATATAATGGTATGTATACCATACTCATTAACTGGACATGGGTTAAATTTTTCAGTATACCATAGTCATATGAGATAGACACGGGTTTATTTTTTGAACATCAGTAGGGCCAGCAGGAGAATCAGAAACACCAAAAACACCTTTTAAAAACTAGATTGATACACAGCCACGTTCTGTGCGACTTTGCTATTAAAAAAGGGGGAAAAAGATGAAAAATAGAACTATTTTTCTAAATATTTTAATAATTTTGTCATCCTCCAACTCTTCCTCCCTCCTACACACATTTTCTTGGAAACTGAAATGACACTCAACAGCAAACACAAAGCATACACCAATAGTATAGTCCACAGTTTTTCTAAAGAGTCAATAGTCCAGCAATTTTAAAGTGATCTATGTGCAAAAAAATAAACAAATGAAAGAGTTTCTTAAAAAAAGGAAAGTCTGCTGCAGCTTTAAATTCTACTTTAAAAAAAGAATCTGAGGATTAGCACTAAATTTCCCAGTGGAGGACAGATCAGTAACTCCAAGTACTCTGCCTAACCTGTGACTTGGTGTTGCAAAACTGTCAACATCCCAAGTTTACTACCTGCTGGCAAGTGGAAAACAGACTCTATCCCCACGAGAAATAGGAAAACCACTATTCATAAACTGGTCTTCTGAGATACATAAACATATGGTGCAGGTATGTATTCAGAGACTGCTACCTACAGCTGAGAACAGTCCTCCCAGCATGACTAACAGTAAATTATTAACAATAAAATGTGCAAGACTTCTAAGAGCAGTATTTGAAATGTTCCTGCCTGCTCAATGCCTCTAGGCCTAAACTATCTGCTCGTTAATAGTGGTGTAAGTCAGGGCAGCTCTGGTGAAGTTACAGTAGAAATCACTGTGCATGAGGATTTCTGTGTGAGAAGAACAGTCCCTTGAACTACAGACTAGTTCAGTCCTGACCACACTACAATAGGGAATTGTGTTTAAACCATGAGTAATCATGCAATCATCTCCCAGCATAGTACTTCTTTTCTGCACACATGGAATGTAAATGACTGAGATTTACAACTGATGATTTTGCAGATTTAATGGATTATATTTCTCTAATGGTTCTGGCAATGCAAACTCAGTTAAAAAAACACCAAAAAGGCCAACAAAAAAAATCCCAAGCTCACTGCTGTCTACGTTTTTCTTTATTGGATGACTTATCTGACACACAGTTAGGATTTCTAACAGTGAGTGTTCAAAGACATCAGATTAGTTGGGCTGGGGTATGGTAAAGTCCAGGTGTGGAAGATATCACAATAGGTGATAAAGCTTAATAATCATGGTTGAGTGAAAAAGCAGATCTTATGTCTGTTATTAGTCTAGTAAATGGAGATGATGCCCCACATCCTAAGCAAGGGCTGTGAAATAGAACAATCACCAACTCATAAAACGCCTTGAGTTTTCCAGATAAAAACTCAGAAGAGCAAAACATGAGCAGTAAAGTCACTTGGTGCTCAATGGCTCTCAAAGTCACCTTCCAAAAGAATTCAAACATCAAAACTATCTCCAACTTGAAAGCCATTTGGCAATATTCTCCCTTTTGCCACCCACTGCTGCATGGGACAGAGGAGCATTTTGGAGGCTACGGGGACACCAGCTGCCCAGCCTTTGCCCGTGTGAAGGACTAGCACACTGGTCCACAGAAGGAATCTCACCCAAAAACAGGAAGCCTTGAGGAGAAGAATGAAGGCAAACACACTTAGCCTGATGCAAAACATGGAAGTACTGCAGAGTGTCCAGAGAAGGGCAGTGGAGCTGGTGAAGGGTCTGGAACACAAATCCTGTTAGGACTAGCTGAGGGAGCTGGGGGTGTTGAGCCTGGAGAAAATGAGGCTCAGGAGGGACCCTTATCACTCCCTACAAGTACCTGAAAGGATGGTGCAGTGAGATGGGGGTCAGTCTTTTCTCCCAGGTAACAAGCAATAGCACAAGAAGACACAAGTTGTGCTAGGAAAGGTTTAGAATATTAGGAAAAATTTTTTCACTGACAGGGTGGTCAAACATTGGAATAGGCTGCCCAGGGAAGTGGTGGAATCACCATCCTCAGAGGCACTCAACAAAAGCGCAGACATGGTGATTAGGGACATGGTAGACCTGGCAGTGTCAGGTTAATGGTTGGACTTGATGATCTTACAGGTCTTTGCCAACCTAAATGATTCTATGAAACCACATACCTTAATGCAGGAAAATGATGGTTGTGGTGCAGTTCAAATCACAGCCAAACTGGTTTCATTTGCCAAGGACAGGTAAACACTAACAACACAATTCAACGTGTGTTTCAAGTGCTGTTAGGCCCATACCACATACAACATTTGGCCTTGGTTTGCCTCCCCATAATGCACTAAAGTAAAACCAGACCTTAAGGAATAACTTGCATAGTAAGAAAAGGTCATCAATTTAATCATTTACTTTAAGCAGGCAAGCAAATTTGTAAACATTCAAAAGCGGCAGCATCCAAGTTACAAACAATTTAAGGAAAAAAGAATTGAGATTATTAAGGTTCTTTATCCTCTCAAAAATTTTGGAAATGAACTTTTAAAACACTGCAAACATTGAACACTCAGTTGCACTTCTAATCCTGCCTTCCAAGGAATTCTGCTTTCTAAAACACACGATCTCACAATTGCCATACATTTCAGCTTTTGCCATTTGGAAGTCAGCTACCAGAGCATTTCACCTCAGTCTAAATCCCATTAGCAAAGGGAATGCCTGTGTCTTGGTTCAACACCTCTTTAACCTCTGAGGGTAAAGTGTCAAAGAGGTGATCTTCCACTATGAGCCCACTTTTCCTGAGAAGCTGACACTGCCCCAGTGTAGCTGGCAGACGGTCCAAGCAGTTTCCCTTCAGTTCCAGGTAAGTCAGCTGCAAGAGCTGACTTACTTTATCTGGGATTGAGGTAATACAGTTTTGTCCCAGACTCAAAGTCCTCAATTTAACACATTTAAACAATTGTTTTGGCAAAACGTCGACTTTGTTTCCTGTGATGTGAAAATGCTGAAGATTTTGAAGCAAACCTATTTCTACTGGAATCACCGCAATGGAGTTGTAGCTTACATCCAAATACCTAAGCTTCTGTAAACTGAACACTGCGGCAGGTAAGGTTTCAAGTTTGTTATTGGAGAGATAAAGAGATTCCAAATTCTTTACGTGGGTAATGGATGAAGGAATGCTGACTATTTTATTGTGCCATAGCTTTAAACAAGTCAATCTTTTTAAATGCTGGAAACTGATGATTTCTTCAATTGTGCGTATGCTATTTGACTTTAAATCCAGTTCCTGTAAGTTAGAGAGACTGAAGATGGCATGGGGAATTCTCTCCAGTTCACAGTTCTGCAGTTCCAACTCTGCAACATTTGTCATTTTCTTAAGGCTATTGAGTACCACAAGCTTAGTGCCATCATTATGAATAACTAGTTTCGTCAGATGCGGTGCTACATCTGTGATATTGGGGGGAATTTTGGTCAAATTGCTCTTCACGTGGAGAATTTTAAGGTGTCTCAGCTCTCTAAGAGACTCAAGCCCTATCATTTTATTATTTTCAGAGTTCAAGTTGCCTATCAAATACAATTCACGGAGGGTTTTGAGCAAATACACCCACGCAGGAATTTCTGCAACATCTGTGAATTTCACATGAAGGCATCTCAAGTGGTCCCGGAGGAAGCTGAAGGCAGTCTGCTCAACCTTGGCAGGGCAGTGGTACAGATGAAGCTCCTGAAGATTTGTCATCTGGGAAATTTTGGCTGTAATTTTTGCTTCAGGAATCAGCTCCAATTTCAAAACATCCAGATCCGTCAGATCAAACACGGCATCGGGGACTCCTGACAGCATGAAGAGATGCAGCTCCTGCTTGTCCTGGGCGTTGCGGGAGACGTGCTGCCGAAGCTTTTCGTAAGTCCACTCGTGGTTTAAACTAATCCCACGCAGTTTGTTCTCGCTTACCTCTGACAAAAAGACACCAAATCGCTTGGAATACAGCTGGTCATACTGATCTACCATGTGCAAGAGAAAGGCAAAATCGTTTTTGACATCGGGGATATCGCTGAAGCTGCTCTCTTCTCTGACCTTTTCAAAAGAGTATTCTTTTAAAGGTATTCGGAACAGCCAGAAAAGCGTGTAGAGGCAGATAAAACCATAGACACAGATAAGGGAAATATAGCTGATAAGCAGCTTCTTCAGCATATAAGCCATATTGTGTGTACATTCAAACTGTGTGTAGCCAATCAGGTGTTCCACTTTTGGGTTGCAGATGTGTTCAAAACTAATGGTGTTGACAAAGTTCGCAGTATAGCAGAGAATAAATATGAACTTGACAGTCTTGATGACAGTCTGGCCAACATAGAGCTTATAAATCAGATCACTGTCTTCCACGTGAGCCCGGAACTTGCGGACTTTCTCAAACAGCGCCTTGGCTTGCTCTCCATCTTTCTTATCTAAAATCGTGACACTGGGAATCTCGATCATCGGCTTGTCGGCTGAAAATTTGAAGCCAGATTTGGTTATCATGGGAGTGCTAGCACTTGGGCTTCCTTCATCACTGCTAGTGGAAACGTACTTGGGAAGGGACTGGGCACCAGTTAACCTCTGTTTGTTCTCCTCAGAGTCCTCACATGCCGTTTCAGACAATGCTTTTGTAGTCCAAGGAGACTCAAAGCACTTCCCCAATATAGACACAAAATGCTCAATTTTTGAGCAAGTCTTGGGATACTTGAACCAAAAATTACTACTCACTATTAAAATGATAGTATGGATGAGAACAAGATAGGGAAAATACTTTGAGTACCAAGGAAGAGCCAAATGATAGCACATTTGGTTAATAAATACATACTGCTGAAAATCCAAATTTGTTTTACGGCCTGAGGAATCTTTCTGCTCCTTCTTCAGCTCCTGGTCTGATTCAGTGGGTTGATACTGAGAAGAGGTAGTAGCTCTGCTCAGAATGTCAGGTATTACAGTAGGGGCACCAAAGGAAACAGTTCTCATTGATGCTTCTTCTTGACCAGTGGTTGTTTCAACAGTGGTAAAATCAGCCTTCCCTGCTGTATCAGGCTGCACTTTTGGATTTACAGTAGACTGCAAAACTGGCAAGCAGACCACCTGGTCTTTTGTCAGCTGCATGGTTCCAGCAAAAATGGCAACCATTAACATAACAACAGCGAGATAATCCATAAATACATCCCACCATGGTTTCAAGATACGGTAAGTTGGCTGGATGTCACTGAGCGATGCAACTTCTGCAAGGGTAAACATTCCTACAAGAGAACAAAAACAAAATCAGAATTGTTGTCTGAGGACATTAATTTTACCATTTAAAAACAATCCCAGCATGACACACACATCCCTCAGAAGGTTTTGCTTTTTCTTATGTTTTTTTGCCTGTCACATACTGTCCATCATTCCACTTCACAGTTTTTCTAAAGGATATGACCAAAACACTGCTGTATTTTCGCAAAACAAAAGGCTTATCACTTCAGGCTAGATCATGTTTACATATCTTTGCCACTTCATAGCACCAAAGCCTGCTCTGTGCAAGTGAAATATCTGAAAGGTAAAATACTGTAGCTGATATATATTAATAAAAGGAAGAGCAACAATAGACTACACAGCACAAAATCCAGTTCTTTAAAAATGATTTCTTGAGTCTGAGCATGTAAAATCCAATACTAACAGTACCTTGCATTTAAACAAGCATTAAGAATAGCATTTTTCTAAATGCTTTGCACTCTGCTCATGACTTGGACAGCACATTTTAGGTCCTGTTTTGTTGTCAGCAAGGTAATTTTTTTTTCATCTAGCACAACACAGTATCTTCCACTCCTTCCCCCTGAGCATCCACAGGTATCTTATCAGATTGATTGGTTCCTTTCCCTTTTAAGCATCACTGCACAAGTGAAAGCCTTGCAGCTACTATGTGAATATTTGGCACAGCCTTTTTTAACATATTTGGATGTTTTGAAGTAAAAAACAGTTGGACAGGGCCCTGAGCAACCTGATCTAGTAAGTGGCATCTCTGCCCATGGCAGGGGTCTTGGAACTAGAAGCTATTTTTAGGAACCTTATTCTATGATTGGACCAAGTATTAGTACTGTATACACTTTTCTCCCCAGTTGATTTAACTCAGCTAACCAAGAACAAACCCCACAATTCTTTCTTAATATAATGAGGAAAACATTTTTTCAGATTATCATCACATCCTAGTGATAACAGAAAGCTGGTTAGTACAGGTAGGACAGGAGCTGACTGCAAGGTTTTCACTTTACCTTAAACATATGCACATGAGACAAAGCAGCAAACTGACCATGTGAGATTCAAACCTCTCTGCAGCTTTAAATACTTTGCTTTTTGTTTTGACAAATATGGAGGAATCAACTTATCAGCTTTAAAAAAAATAAGCTTCCTGGGCAAGCAGGATGTGGTAAAATCATCATTTTGACTGCTGAATGTGGGACCCAAATTTGCCATTTCTAAAGAAAAATATCTAGCTTGTGTGCACACATGCAGCTGAGAAGGAGATAGTATGTACACTATCCCACAGGGTCTGTCTCCCTTTGCCTGGGTGAAGAACAGCTTAGCAGAGCCCAAGGAGATCAAAGCAGGAAGTAACAAGATGCATTAGATTTATTATTTTTAACTTGTAGCATAACATTTCATACAGACCTGCACCTTGCACACTCTAAACAACAGTATCACAGGCAACATATATACAGTTTCATAATTAAATTAGTTAACAGACGTTTCTACACATAGAATTCAGCAATTGCCTATATGGTCAAAGCCACGCACTAGCACCCTTCCTTCCCCACACCAGTGCAAGCAGCTCCCACTTCTCAGTCTGTGGGAAAGGCCAGCACTTGTCTGTACTACCACAGAGCTCAGGATCCAAGTGTCTCCTCCAACACAGGGACACAGCCAGCCCCTACCCTCCCACACTCCTCCCAGACGCTTTTACCAGTCCTGCATACCAAGCCTAGGCTGTGGTGGAGGCAGCCAGCGAGGGAAGGACTTTATCACACTGCAGCACTCATCTCAGTGCTCTTGGCACAGCTGCCAAAACTTAAAAGTTAGGGCTGAGTTTCTCAGGGAACTAGCAGAAGGAGCTTCCCGTTCTTGCCTTCTTTATTTTCCTGTGGGCACGTCAAGCACTCCTCCCTCATTCGAAGTTTCTGAGGTGCCACAGTCCCCCCAGCTCCACAAGGACCTCCTTGATGAGAGGTTCCCGAGGCAGCCCCCAAACACCTCCAGGGTGCAGCTGCAGCACCAAGTGCTGAAGGACACAGAGCAGTAACACCCCAGCCATCACAGCCTGCAGTGCCTTAGCTGGAAGTCAGCTACAAACTCCCATCTTTAATGTCCCCCAGTGCTTTACCTACACCCAGTCACAGCATGACTGCTTGCCCTAGAATTGCCACCTTTGACATTTGAACAACAGTGTGCAAATGAACAGCATTAGCCATTTGTGCTAATGTGAACTGATTGAAATAAAAGGACCCTCCTAACTCCTAGGGCCCGACTGCCCGGCACCTGCCCAGAACAGGACAACCACAAAGCAACAGGAGAGGAGATTTTTTCCCCAAATGGATTTTTTATCTTTCTAGGAAGCTCTCTGGAGGCATACTGTCGATCCCCACGCTGTTTGCACTGTGGTCGCACCTACCTTGGCTGCCACAAGAACTCCCCCAGCAGGTGAGTGCAGCAGGAGAGCACAAAGCCAGAGGCAGAGCAAGGACAAAGGCCAGCCCAGCTCACACAGCCATGGCCAGGGCAGGGAGAGCAGGGCAGGAGGAACAAGAACTGCTGGAACAAACACGAGTACTGCTGCTGCTTGTTCCTCTGGGGCCAGCCTTTCCCTCAACTTTGCACTGGCTAATTACGTGGGAAGTTACTTCACTGTGGTTTGGGGCATGGCCTCCAGAATTCCTTTCACAGAAAGAAGGTGATTTTTGTGCTTCTGCACAAACACGTGGATAATAAAGCACAGAAACCCAGGCACTGCAGACATGACTGCTCTAAACAACTGAAATAATGGAAAAGAAATGGCAGAGTACAAAGTGGTTCCAGCTGAAGACTTAGAAAGAACAGCAATAAAAGCAAAAGTTAAAAATTGTCTCTACCAGACCTGTGTCTTGCACACACAAAATCATTCCAAAAAAGAGCCTGAGTAATCCTCTTTGTGAGGCTGTAGGTAGCATGGTGTAACAGGAGCTTTACACCAAGAACTACCACATTCAATGTTCTGAACACATCTTTTCTTTCAAGTTACTGATACTCAGAGAAGAGCTCCTGTTCTGGCAGAGATCAGCAGTTATAAAGCACAAAAAACTCCTCTGTGGGACTACTAACACCGTCTCATAAAAGACAGCAAAAATACATTCCAAAAGCTGAGCACAGATTTGCCTCCTTACATATCCAAAATGTTTAATGTTCTGAGTCTTAAAAACCAAAACAAAAAACTATAAACCTACACACAGTATAAGACACATTCGGACAGGCTGCAAATAACTTTGGTATTTTCTCTTTTAAATCCATCATAACATGTATTGCTGTTTGATTTTACTAAGCTAATAACCATAGAAGTTATCTCTTATTATATTTCTGTGCACACTTAGAAATCAAACAATTAAGAGGCACTCAGAACAAAGAGTCTGTACAGTATTGGAATGGGTTTGGATTTTCTTTATTCCAATTGAATTTAAACTATTCAATGCTTTTAAAACCTACTGTCTGGAATATACCTTAGAGTAGGTGAATGGTATTTTCACTGCTAATTTTCAACTCCTTTTAAGAGTGACAAATTGGGCTTTGAATTCCATTGTAAGTTACAGTGGTAACACAGAATTAAGGAAACAAAGAAAAAAAAAGAAAGATGCAAACTCCAGTCTGTGTCTGGCAGGCAGAGCTTGCAGCACCCTGCCATAGGTGGTCTCCCCTCAAAACCAGTCATGAACTCACAACCCCAATGCAGAAAACATCTGTGAGCAGGTAGGTCAAACTGAACAACAGTGTCCTGTGCAGCTGAGATGTTACAACACCTGGTTTCTCATGGTGAGAACACGCACTTCTCTCAGCCCTCTTCAGAGCTTACAAGGCACCAAATGGACCCTGAGGCTCAGCAGAACATGGGGTTTTAACATACTCAACATCCAGAGAGATCCACACTAGAAAAAGTGGAGGTCCTTGAAATGAAATTTTTTCATTCCCAATATGGAATGTCAGGACAGACTCCTTTTTTAAATAGCACATTTTTGTTTCGTTTTAATAAGCACAGGTTTTAATTCAAGCCTATGCAGTATGATCCTTACATTAAGGCTTTAATTTTAACAAATAACATTTTTTCCTCCCAAATCCTGTCTCCAGTTCTGTACCATGGATGACATTCTAGGATAGCATCAACTTCTTTCAGCTCCATCTATCACTTCTAGCTATCTACTAGGTGTATTCTTTTTCCTGAAACAAACAAAAAAGTATTTAGCCAAAATAAATGCAACTGTTCTAAGCACAGCTGTTTCTTCCTACCTTCTAAGATTTTAAGTGGATAAACGTGAAGTTCTGAAAGTAGTGCAGTCACGTGATTTGGAGCTCTAGAATTAAACCTACTTTGTTTTATTTTGCAGTTGTACAAATTACAGTGAAACTGGAATATAGAGAAAAAAATTAACAATGACAATACAATTGTCATAGGCCCACATTAAATCAGCAAGGGTAGCAACTAATTTAATAAATCATTCTTCTTAACAATTATAATAATTTAATTAATCTTAAAGAAAAGCTGCAATAGAGGTCAGAATGCGATTAGCCTTGTGAATTTCTGACACATTTTAGACTATAATGCTGAAATACAAAATGGACATATTTGGGATATTTCCTAAGAAGCTGTTCTAGCTTAAATACAGAAGTTAGCACGAAAGGAAGCGGCAGATTGGTATGTCACTAATGTTTATTTACATCCTACTTCTTCCTGTACTTACAGATAAAAACTATCTGTCCTGTAACTCACTGGCCCTCCTGTCTTAAAAGCATATTTAAAGTTAAAGCAAATTCAGTCAGAACAAACAAACAAAACAAGCATTGTAGCACATGATACACTCATTTACTCTCAGGTTCCCAAGACTCCAAACAAGTCCACTTTGTCTCAGGAAACAAAAAGATTCTTGAATTCGCCTTGTTACTGCATCTGCTAAACAATTTCCTAAAAAAACTCAACATTTCTAGCTGAAAAGAGAAAGTGCTACCATGAACAAAATTGTTTTCTCCC